CCCCAGGCCTTCACTGCACTATTGTCTGTGTCCATGGGTTATACATATAAGTTCTTTGATTAATCTCTCTATACCCACTCCCCAACCCCCACCTTCCCACTGAGATTCATCAGTCTGTTCCATGCTTCTATGCCTCTGGATCTATTTTGTTCCTCAGTCTATTTTGTTTATTAGATTCCACATATGAGTGAGATCATGTAAAACTGAATCAGGAAGAATCAGAAAACCTGAATAGGCCAATAACAACGGACAAAATCGAAAAACTCCCAGGAAACAAAAGCCCTGGTCCAGATGGCTTCACGGGGGAGCTTTCTAATACTTAAAGTTGTAGGGTTAGAAAACAAGTTGTTTTTTTTTTTAAAAAAAAAGTTTTCATTGACTTTTTCTTTTAGAGAGGGAAAAAGGGAGAGGGAGAGAGTGAGTGAAATATCTATGTGAGAGAGAAACACTGATGGGATGCCTCCTGCATGTACCCACAGCCTGGGCATGTGCCCTGACTGGGAACTGAACCGGCAACCTTCAGTGTACAGTACAATGCTCCAACCAAGTAAGCCACATCGGCCAGCGCCAGCGCTGAAAACAAGTTTTATTTAAATAGGGCTTACATACATTAAATAACATTAAAACTGAAGGGGAAAATAAGCCCCAAACCAGTACATTACTCAATGGTATTGGGCAGCTGTTGCTAGTAAGTTGCAAGCTCTACAGCTAGCTGCATGATTGACACATTGGTTTGAAATTTGTTTCATTGTCAAAAGCTTAACTCTGACAGAAGTCTGGTCTCACATTCTGGTATTTGGATATTGATTAGCTAGAACACGTCTGGTCAAAAAGACCTTGCTGGCAAGTCAGATGTCCTATAACCTCACCAGAGGAAAGGTGGCTGCTCTCAGCTCCACCCACCTGGTCAGGTTGGAAACACCAAGGGATCTTTCTTTGACTACCAAAGGTCCCCCTCTAGTGGTACAAATGCCATTGCTGCCTTACCACATCCTCTCCTCTCAGCTTCAAGGAGGGCTGTTCATGTGGTCACCTTCTCTTAGGGCAGGAAACTCTGTAGAGGGAGAGCAGAGGAGCTTCTGGACAGACATAGCTGTGATCTTGGAGCCCTGGCCTTGGCTGAAACATAACCTTATTGCTTTGTTTCAGGCTGGACACTGTCGGGTGCCTACTGTTTGACCTCTGTTTATTTTATTTTTTTAAATTTTTTATTTTTAAATATATCTTTATTGATTTCAGAGAGAGGAAAGGAGAGGGGGAGAGTGAGAGAGAAACATCAATGATGAGAGAGTCATTGATCGGCTGCAACCCGCAACCCAGGCATGTGCCCTGACCAAGAATCGAACCCCAGTCTCCTGGATCCTAGGTCGATGCTCAACCGCTGAGCCACACCTGGCCGGGCTGACCTCTGTTTAAAGGAGGGACTTCAAGATTAGACAGCCTGGCTCTTTTCAGTTTACTGCATGAAGGAGTTACACTAGTCCAAGTTAAAAGAAGACCCAAATGGTTACACTGTACAAGCTGTAAGGTTTTTAAACTTGTGACAAGGGATAGAAAGGAATTTGTACTCATTGCAAGGAAACTCTTACTTAAGCTTCAGTGAGCCAAAAGCACTTAAAACCCACGAACCTTCACTTCAGCTGGTCGTCTTTTAGCCAGTCAGTCTCTATGAGGAACTGGCATATGTTCTTGTGCAGTCACCCTGAAGCTGAATTACTTCTCCATATTCTGGATGCTCAATTACAGTACTATTTCAGGCAAATTTCTCTATCCCTAGCCATGGACTGAAGGGTCCTGGGTTTGATTCTGGCCAAGGGCATGTGCCTCGGTTGCAAGGCTCCATCCCTGGCCCTGGTCAGGGTGCATGCAGGATGCAACCAATTGATGTGTCTCTCTCACATTGATGTTTCTTTCTTCCCCCCACTCTCTCTGAAAAGCAACAGAAAAAATATCCTCAGGTGAGGATTAAAAATAAAAATTAAAAAAACCTTCACTAGTTTCTTTTTTTTAATCCTCACCTAGGGTATTTTTTCCATTGATTTCAGGGAGAGGGAGGGAGGGAAGGAGAGAGGGAAAGAGATGTGAGAGAGAAACATCGATTAGTCACCTCCCGTGCACCCCCCAACTGGGAATTAAAAGTGCAACCCAGGTACATGCCCTGACCAGGAATTGAACCTGGGACCTTCCAGTGCACAGGACAACACTAATCCACTGAGCCACACTGGCCGGGCTTCACTAGTTTCTTTTTATCATAATTATCAGTGATCCCTTGAACTTCATGCTGTTTCTTTGTTGAATTCTTACATGGATATAATCTTTAGTGTCACATGGAAGCAGATCATCACCCCTACCTGTCTGAGGATTCAGAATGAGTCACCTCAAGATATGCTCCTGTCGTATGGGAACTGTTTTGAGCTAAAGGCAATTTTAACTTCAGACTCAAGAAAAACTCCTGGCCCCCCCCGCCGACCTTTAACGACCCAGAAGAACTTGAATTAGGAGCCTTGTCCACAATAAGCGATTATGAGAGAACCTTTTTGACCCACCTGTATGGCAGAGCAAACTTTTATTTACTAAACACCTGCTCTTCTTAACACCCTGCTATGACCCTCGGAAGCCCCCAGGTGCATTACCTCATCCCTAGTTCAAACTGTCTTACATTCCTCAACCCCCTTTTCTCTGAACCTCTCCTTCATGTGGGGTCTCTGACTTTTTCATGTATGTGGGGTTCCCATCATATTATGTATTAAACTTGGGTATTTTCTTTTGCTAATTTGTCTCATGTCTATTTTATTATTAGACCATCCAGAAGAAAATTGAGGAGAGAGGGAAGGAAATTGTTCCATTCCCACACTTGCATCAGCAAAGAGGTCAAAGGAGTGGAGGTTCTGGATGGCACACAGGATTCCTGGTGGCAAGGTCTGCAGGAAAAGTGGAGAGGGGGGAAGCAGGGAGCCTCGGGAAGTGAAGGGGCTCAGTGACGGGCCAGGAATAGATTTTATTTTACTTTAACTAGCCTGAGGACTTAATCTTTTGAACCTTTCAGTTATGCATTGATGCCTGGAGATGTATCAATCCTATAAATAACCCTCTGAAAAACTATAGAAGGAATGTTCACGTGTCCAGACCACTGGACACTGGGAAGATCACCACCTTGGACCAACCCTGGTGCTAAGATTCCTCCTTGGAATGTACTTTTTACTATAAGAACTCTCTACTTTTTTCTTTTCTTTAGAACACTCTGGGTGTTACCTGGTAATACTCCCTAAGTTGCAAATGTTAAGACCCTTGAACAAAACTTTGTCATTTAATTCTAGTGAAACCTCCTGATTCATTTAGGCGTGGTCCACAGTGTACTCCTCAGAAAAATGAGTTTGTCGAAGGTAGATTCCCTTTTTCTCCCCCTAATTAAATGAACACATCTTAAAGATTTTATTTAACTCACTCTTTAATGGGGGAAACAGTAAGATGTTAAAACCATTAAAAGGAATCAAAGACCCTTACCCACAGGCAATGTGAAAGCTAAAATGAATTTACAAACAGATGCAAAACTGGTCAATATCCACAAGGAGGTCCATTAGGCAACATTCATTTGCATTTCTATGGACAAATCATTTGCATTAGTATCACTTTTCTGCAATTTAGAGATGTAAAATATAATTCAAAGAACAAAAAGCAAAGAAAACCTAAAAGGTAGTCTCTCTAGTCAGAACATCCAGTTATTATTTTTACTTGGGGGGGGACATTTCAAATGTTTCACAATTTTTCCTGACTGCCTGTGATAATGATCTCAAAGATTCTTCTCCTACACAAGAAAAATAAGGCTGCTCTCATCAGACAAGCCTGGTGTTATAGAAATTTGTGTGTGTATTAGAGTGTATTTGATGTGTGTATTAGATTTGAAATAAGTAACTCCATTTTGTGTGACTGAGTGTAACTGTGATGCCTGCGTGCCATGATAAGATTAACACTTTGTAGCCCTGGTTTCCAAGCAGGCCCACGCTCTGTAGGACCCTGATAAGACACACTGAAGACACACCACACCTTCAGCTGAACTGTTAAAAGCAGGGGCTTTTCGGCCACATCCTTGGATGTTTGTCTGCCCTCCACAGACTTCGTCCCCAGCTCCGGGAAAGCTGACCCTGCCTTGCTCTGCCCTGCACCTCTCTAGGAGAACTTCCAGAGGGCTGCAGTGACCGACGCCGTGGCGGCCGCACCCCCAGACCTCGTGTGTGTCTTTCAGCGGATCGTCCGGGTGGCCTGCTGGTGCCGAGAACCATTGGGAACTGGTAAATAAACCCGTGTGATTTGCTTTATGTTTGTCTCTGTCTCCCTTCTTGCAACTTGAATTATTGGCTCGGTCTCATTGAACTAAAGTGTCTCTCAACCCTCATGGTGGTATAGCCACGTATTGGGAGTTAGACCACCTGCGTTTATGTCTCCAGAGAAACTGGGACACCTGGTAATTGCCATCTGTGCAGCAAGAATGTTAATTACCAGCTAAGCCTCCTTATGTTTCATTTACAAAGTTAGAGCCATACAATATTGAACTAGGGCCACAAAATTAACTGTTGTCACAAATTTTCATAAGGGATCTCAGATTAGACTTTAAGCATCTCTATTATTTGCTATCCTGAAGGTAAAAAACCAAATCTAAACAATTCCACCAGGTTCCACTTGCAGTTTCTATAAATGTGAGTGAATTCCTCTGTGGAAATAAAGGAAGCCCAACCAAACAATTCCACCAGGTTCCACTTGCAGTTTCTATAAATGTGAGTGAATTCCTCTGTGGAAATAAAGGAAGCCCAACCAAAAGGGAACAAGAGCTATTTATTCAGACACGTGTATTTGGAAGAGACTCAAAGGCAGGCTGAGGAAGGGGGAAGCTTTACACTGAGGAAAGGAGGCTTCAGGTGGGCCCCCACAGGAGGCTGGTGGCCTGGGGTAGCTGGAGGTGGCAGACTGTGAGCTGGTCATCTTATGTAACTGGTCAGGGGTGCATATTTAGCTTTCTTTGGGCGATCCTAAATTGAAAGCAGGGACAAAAAATAGGAAAGCTGTTAGTTATTAACCAAGTCCTGGCCATTTGGGGCTGACTGTTACAGAAATTACTTTTAGCTTCCAGGACTGTCACCAAAGATGAAGGTCTAACTTCCTGCAAGTCTGCACCAGACTTCCTGGGCTGGTTATCATAAATAAGGGACTTGGTTTTCTGGACAAGTTGTTGCAAGTTATGGGTTAAAGTTCTGTTTTTACATATGGTCCTGCCATTGTATAGTAGTATATTCAGTCTTTACCTCTCTTATTCTGCGATAGGGTATGTGGCTAAACGGCTCTAACTGATAAGGGCTACAGGGACTATCAAGGAGATAGTAAGACAAACCCCCAACAGATTTATGGCTTAGAACAGACCGGCAGAAGACCAGATCAATACAACATGGCACTAATTTCACCTTATGGTGAACCCCAGCTTCATTATACGCTCATTGTAATACATTAGCATCCTAACCGACAGACCCTGTACTTCCAACATGAGAAACAGAAAGCCTATATAAGGACCCAAAATGGCCAACAGGGCTCTTCTCAGAAGTCTCCACCCCTTTCCTGGAAAAATCCTGAATATTCCTCCCCCTTACTAAATGCCCTACCCTTCAATTAAATGAGCCTCGATAAAAGAAGTAAATCCCACTAGGGAGGGGCTGCTCTGTGGAGTAGCCCACTCCGTCTCACTGCTTTACTAATAAACTCTTTTACTTTAAACTCTGTGCTGACTCACATTTGAATTCTTTTCTCAGTGAAGAATCCATCGTAGGTCACAGACCTTTGTGTCCCCAGACCGCCAGAATGCCTAAATCGATTCCAGTTCCCCAAATATCTTAAATTCCCTGGCCAATCAGGAAGTGACCTTCCTTACCACCTCTAGGGCTGGAACCCTATAACCAGGGAGGGTTCCCTATTACCAGGGAGCCCTCCTAGGAAGGCTTTGTAAGTTCTATAAAGTCAACCTTAGTTCTGTGAAAAGTGTCTTGGCATTGCCCTGGCCAGGTGGCTCGGCTGGAGTGTGGTCCCCTACACCAAAAGGTTGCAGGTTTGATCCCCAGTCGGGGTGCGTATGAGAAGACAACAGATTGATGTTTGTCTCTCTTTCCCATCCCCTCTCTAAAATAAATAAGCATGACCTCAGGTGAGGATTTTTTTTAAAAAGTGCTTTGTCATAGCTGATTACATAAGCATCATTTAGAAATATGACATTCCAAGTAAGGCCCTGGTTACACTATCAATTTGTTCAATTATATTATATCTTGGTTAAAAAAAGACAGTGAGAGGTTCAGAGCAGGATCCCCACGCTGTGCCACTTGGGCATGTGCTTCATTTTGAGCTGCAGGCAATTGAGACCCTGCAAACTCCTGAGAAACTTTTACTGCTCCCTGAAATTTGGGGCTTTGACCATAATAAGTTATCACCAGAGATAACTTCTTGTGATCCATCTGTATAGTGGGGCAAATATCTAACTAGTGAACATCTGTTCTCATGTTGTGAATGACCTTCCTCCTCTCTTACCTCATCCGTGACTCAGAAAGCCATGTTACACTCATTCTCCCCTTATGTCTCTAAACCTGTCACGTATGTAGGGTTTCCATATGTACATATATAATTAGATTTGGTTATTTTCTCTTGTTAATCTGTCTCATGTAGATTTAATGACCAGACAAGACTAAAGAAGCTTGGAGGGTACAGGAAAGTTTCACCCTCCCCTACAGTTGGTGCTGTGAGCAGGACACCTCACAGGCCAGGCACTGCTCAGCTGGAGGCTGCTACAATAGAAAGATCTTGGGACCTCTAGCATGAGCCAGCAAGAGTAAGAATTCTTGCCAAGGCAGACTCCCGGATCTCTACCTGCAGAGTTTAGTGTAAGTACAGTGATAAAAGTTTTCATTTTCTAAATTTAGATTAGTAGAAGAAAATATTTGTGAAACTAGTTTCTTGGGTTTAGCAACCCTTGGTTATTTGGTAAGAGTACTCATGGGTTTTGTTAATTTTGTTTTTCTCTGTCTGTCTGGTGTCTCTCCTTTCATCTTGTTATATGTCAGGAGACCTTGGTCTTTATGACCAGTGAGAATATTTTCTCTCTGGCCTCCACCATACAGAAGTTGCACTGGGTGGGATGAACCTTGCTCTCTGTCTAGCCATGCCAAGCTCTCAAGGGAGTTTTCTGTGCTTATCCATTTCCTCCCAGAGCTGGTAAAAACAGAGCGCCTCATTCTTGGTTCCCACCAGTCAGAGGATGCCTACGCATCTGACAGGCAGCAGAGCAGGCTGTGGATCCTATAGATCCAAGCTTAGGGAATCTAAACACCCCATTCAGAAGGGAAAAAAACATGTGCTTCACTATGTTTTGGAATGCCTGTTTTGAACTCGGGGGTAAATTTCATCTTATCTTTTTGCACTCTTCTTTGGAAAAGCTTCCTACATTCATAGTTCTTATTAGTTGAATTGCTATTAAGATCCTACTTATCTTAGTAAGGATAATAATCCTTAGTAAGGGTAAAGGATCCAAATGAGGGCTCCTTTGAATTGGAAAAACTTCTAAAAAAGCAAGCAAAGGCTCGGCTGGTGTGGCTCAGTGGTTGAGCGTCCACCCATGAAACCTGGAGGTCACGGTTCAATTCCTGGTCACAGCACATGCCTGGGTTGTGGGCTCAATTCCTGGTAGAGTGCAGGAGGCAGCCAACTGATGATTCTCTCTCATCATTGACACTTCTTTCTCCCTCTCCCTCTCCCTTCCTTTCTCTGAAATCAATAAAGACATATTTTTAAAAAATTAAAGATATAAAAGGTACCTAAAACAAAAGACTGTAGGACTGCTGTTACTCCTTACAGGAGATCCTCAGGTATCTTTCCCTCCTTGGTCTAAGGCCAATCTAATAGCTATAATTAGAGAATTTCTTACTTTCAGGGAGAATCCTCAAAAGTTTTGTAAATAGATTACCTACTGAGTCTAGTGAGAGAGGGAAATAAAATTTCACATCGTTCCTTCCTTCTCAAATCCAGACCTATTGGTTACTGATTCTGTAACTCCCAGGGATATCTATTCCCTATGTCCTAAGGACTTTGCCTTGGCTCTCTGCCTGCCTGGGATATGCAGTCACTTCTTTTGGCTACCAGAAGGAATGATACTGGTTTGTACCCTCTTGAGTCCATGGAATTGTTTAATGCAGTAGAGCCTTGGTTCTAGAACTTAATTTGTTCCAGAAGGCTGTCTGAAAACGGAATCATTTGTTTTCATTAAAAATAATGTAAACTGAATTAATCTGTTCCAAACCTGGAAATGATTCCTTATTTTAACCTTTCTTATATACAGCACATGTCTAATGTACTGTTCAATCTATAAACAAACACTTAAAAACAAAAAGGACATGAAATGTAAATGAAAATTTAACAAAAAGGAAATGAAAGGTACAGTAAAAAATGAATATTTAATAAGCAGCAACAAAAGCAAAAAAAACACAAAAAATATTCACAGCACAATTTTTTGAGACGTTAACAACGTGAGGTTTAGTGGTAAAGTGACTCATAATCATGCAATCTCTCCTCTGTCACCTGAGAGACATGTGACTGATCATACAGTGTATCAGCATGAAAGGGCTGTCAGGTTGAGAAGCAAATTGTTCGAGATGGGGGACATTCGAGAAACAAGGTTTGACTTGAACTGCCAGAAATATTTACTGGTTGTCCCAGCTGAAAACTGACAAAATATTTAAAAGGATTTACCTTCAAATAACTTTTGGACCAGAAATTTGGCAACACTGGAAGCTGGATTCAGGGCCTGATAGGAATTTTTTAAAAGGCCTCCTTCCCAAAGCTAAAATAAAATGATATACCCAGAAAGAAGCAAATTAGGGATGATGTAGTTGGATGGATAGATCAACCTATGATGTCACTTAAGTTATAGTCCAATTCTTTAGAGCAATTATCCTTACCTTACAAATCTTTGTGAAACCACAAATGCAGCTCTAGAAGTAGGTCAAAGCCCACCTATCTTTACCATCCCCAATTCCTAAGACTGGAAAACAAAAAAGGAGATGAGGTGTTTTTGAAAGCACAAACTGCTTTGCTGACTGTAAGGCTCCCTACAAAATTTATTATCTTCTCCACAAACGTTAATAAGAAAAAGCCTTGCCCAGCTGGCGTGGCTCAATGGTTGAGCAATGACCCATGGACCAGGAGGTCATGCTTCGATTCCCGATCAGGGTACATGCCCAGGTTTCAGGCTCGATCCTCAATACGGGGCGAGCAGGAGACAGTCGATCAATGACTCTCTCATCTCTGATGTTTCCATCTCTCTCTCTCTTTCTCCTTTCCTTTCTCTGAAATCAATTAAAAAAAAAAAGCCTTAAATACCTGACTGGATAAACTTATTACTCATCTCATGGTAGTAATTTTAAAACAAAGACTAGGAAAAAAAAAAAAGGCTAGGAAGTGTCTGTTTGCATCTGTCTGTATGTTCATGAGTGTTGTGTGGTATTTTCTACCTGTGATGGTATTGTTAATTTGTAAAAGAGGTCTATTTAATTGGCTTAAACAAATAAGTGCTTGTATTAAAATTCTGAAAAATATAATAGAAACTAACCCAGTGCTTTTCAGGATCATGCAATCTGGGAAAATATTTGATGTGGAAGCTGTTTTGGGTTTGGTTTGCTTAAAACAGACAGGTCTTTACAGTTATCAAAATTAAATATAAAACTTTAATTTTACCTGGGTTAAAAAAAAATAAGTTCATGTTATCTCTGTTACAAAATTTTTCAGCACAATAAATAACTTGGTATAATGTAATTTTCATAAGTAATCTAAACATAATTAAGAGAAAGTAAATTAAATAATGTAAGTAGAATAAATAGGTTTTAATAGGATGAACTCTTTAGCAATAATTATATTTTATGTGTACTTAGAAATGGTTCCCTAAATCTCTTTGGTAACTTGAAACTTTAGAGTTTTGCTAGCTAAATTAAATGATGGATCATCACTGAATATCTATATTAAATTTCCAAATAAAATAATATAATGAAACATTAATTACTGAACATAGGTTTATCTACCTTTGGCATCTCATTGCAGAGAAACTAAAAGAGTTAATTTGGATCTGTTAGTAATCATGTTGTGTGCCACATTAAAAGACTGTACTATGAAAAAGCATGTATTTCTGGAAATTATGGAATGTATTCATAAAGTTATCAATCTAAAAAATACAGGTGTAACAATTCACAGTCACTTATTTCTTAGTTTTCACCAGAAATTAAAGTTTCTAAAGTTTAAGAATTCTAATATATATAAGTAAAGCTACAAAAAACTATAATAGGGAAAACAACTGTGTATACAAGAAAAATAAGTTATATTTTTGGCTTTAAAAAAAGGGTATGAGACATGGAGATATGTTTTTTGTTAAGGAACATAAAAGTAATTTTGCTCTTGTTATTTCTGAGTGGGTAAGAGAACACAAGACAAATTAAAAGGGACCAAAAAGCTATAAAAAGTTTATGAAACGAAATCTTGAGAAAGAATCTTTATGTGTGATCAGGCTGGATAAGATTGAATGGATTTGTTATAAGGATTTTTCCAAAAGTTTTAATATTAATCATGTGCTAAAACTTAATATTCTTTCAGCTGCTAAAAGGACAGTTTTCCTGGATTACTGGTCTGCTCTAGAGAAGATGCTGTGAAAAAAAAAAGCCTGCCTGCCTAGAAAGCAAAGATTTTGTGTTTTATCAAAATAATTTTCGGTATTTTATGTTGTCTTAATCAAGTCTTTGATTTAAGAAAACTGAATCTTCTCAATAGTAAAAGCTAACATTCTCTACTGAAATACTGAAGCTGAATTTCATGAAAAGGCATCAGAAACAAAACCTGATGTGGCTCCTATGGATGAAATCCACTCTACTTCTTTCAAAATTGACCTGCCATTGCAGACCCTCATAACATGGCAACAGTGGGCCCCTGAATTAGAGAAATTAAGACAGGTAAAAAATTGTTGTAAATTAAAAGAATAGTCAGTCAGGACTGTGCGAAATCCAAGATAGCTGGCTGTTTTTTTCTGGTTTCCTGGCAAACCCCATTTTTGTTATTTGTATTCCTTCATTCACCATAGTGCATTTAGGCTAGACTTTATTCAGCTGCCACTCAGTACGTGTTATCAATATGTTCTTGTCGTATATGTTTTCTGAATGGGTTGAAAACTCCATCTGCTGAACGCTGATGCCCTCACAGTGGCAAAGAAACTGTTAGAAAACGTATTCCCACTTGGGGTATATATCTTCCACAATCTCTAGTGACCAATGCACCTACTTCACTGGGAAATTCTTAAGAATCTTGATGGAAAGCTTTACAAACATCTTGGAATTATCACTGACCCTATCACCATCAATCATCAGCCAAGGTTGAGGGAACTAATGGAAAAACTGGATTCAAGAAGAACATGTTTTAATTACACAGGACTGAAAGAACTAATGAGGATGATTACAATTTTTATGATTTTTTTCTTTTGGTTTGAAACATTGCTCATTCCTTAATTTTTTTATTTTCCGGGTATAAGAAAGTTTGTTTTTTGTTGTGTGTTTTTTTTCTCTCTTATACCACCTATGATTTAGAGCAGCAATTTTTAACCTTTTTCATCTCATGGCACACATAAACTAACTTAATTACTAAAATTTTGTAGCACACAAAAAACATATTTTTGGGCAATCTGACAAAACAAAACAAAAAAACCCTACGTATAATTCTAATTCATTCACACCAGACAGCTATTGTTGTGTTGGCTGTTGTCATTATTTTATTTGACAATCCAAGGGAAAAGAGGTCAGTGCTCCTGATTAAATAGTCAAGTTTTGCATATTTTAAAGATTCTTGTGGCACACGGGTTGAAAATTGCTGATTTAAAGCAATTTGGTAAATTACACCTTTTAAAGCAGAACTGAAACATTTTTCTTTTTCTCCCTACTTGATCCCACCGGAAATCAGAAACTCTCAGTGAGTATTCTTATTTACAATATGGTTATTTGCATAAATTCAATAAGAATCTGTTTTCCTTGTGATGACACAATTGGAAACTGGTAAGATTAATCAAGGCTTTGACTAGAATGTCATGTTTGAGAAAAACATTCACAGACTCAGACATGACCAGACAGCTTTAAGGAATTAAGACTGACTTATGGAAGCCAATAAAACCCTTGGAAAAACAGCCTCATACCTTTCTTACAGGGTTCCCAGATGCCTTACCAGGTAAGAAAAGGTCAATTCCTAGAAGGTGCAGGACCCTCAGGATATTTTGGGGACCTTGAAAAGAGAGAAACTCACCCAAATCTATAGGTATTGCAGGCAACATCTGACGATGACAAGTCCTTGGCTTCACTTTTATGGCCTAAAAGGCCTTTTAAAGTTCAATCTGGAGATTCCTTATGAAAACACCCAGCAAATTAGATTTTAGAAAGCCCATGTGGACTTCCGGTCAAGGTGGCAGGGTAGGTGAACACTGTGCTTGCCTCCTCCCATGACAATCAAAATTACAACTAAGGTATAGAACAACCACCACTGAGAACCAGAAGACTAGCTGAACAGAACTCCTAAAACTAAGAATATACAGAAGAAGCCACATTCAGACTAGCAGGTGGGGCTGGTCCCACACCCACATGTGACAGTTGAGAACTGGGGTGGGATATCTCAGCTACAAAGGTGCCCCTTGAGGAACGAGGGGTCCTAGTCCCACAATGGGCTCCTCAGCCTGGAGTACCAGTGATGGGAAGAGGAATCCCAACAATAGCTGGACATGAAAATCAGCAGGGACTCCATCCAAGTGAGATGGAAGTCTCTAAAGACTCAAGGCATTCTCTTAAAAGGACCCAACCACAGACTCACTGGCTCACATACACTCACCCTGAGCTCCAGTAAAGGGACAGCATCTCGAAAAGCACCAGGGACATTCAGGGAGGAACTGAATTGTCTGGCTTTACAGTGAAGGCTGGAGGGGAAGCTTTCTTCAGACTGAAGTGGCAGCAAATACCATTGTTCCTTTGTTGAGATCTCCTCACATACAGCCTGCAGGTGCCCCAAATCTGAGTCTCCATCACCCTGGTTAACACTTCTCTTGCCCAATCCTGGTGATTCTCTGAGTCCCAGCTCCACCAAATTCCCAGTCCACCCAAACCTCTCTCAGAAGCTAATCTACATAATTGGCCAGCCTAGGTCCACAAACCCCAAATAAGTAGTAATTGGCCTCAGCATACCCGGTACCTCTTGCTGAGTAGCCCCAAACCTGGCACTAATGGTAGCTGTCCTCAGTTCACAGCATAACTACTCCCATGCACCTCCCAGCCCAGCACAGGCAGCTATCACCTGCAGATCACTGCATAGCTATCAGGTGGCCCTGGATTAGACAGAGGCAGCAGCTGATCTTGGCCTGCACTGGAGCCCCTCCCAAGAGGTCCCAGAACCAACATACCTGGTGCCAGCTTCAGACCACACCAGAGCATAACCCAATTAGTGCGACAAATGACACACCCAAAGGATGAACTCGCTGGCACCAGAACTCTGCTAAATGAATCCCACTGTGTGCAGTGAGGCCCTATACAACACTTGTCCACTGTAATCATGGTCAGCACTCACAGCTAGTCAGCCTGAAGGTCAATGCCTCCCACTCATGCCACAACAGCAAGGCTCAACTACAACAAAATGTCACACACAACCCACACAGGAGCCACACCTGAAGCACCTGGCTCAGGTGAACAGGAAGACTGTGTCTTTGGATCTCACAGGATACTTACTATCCAAGGTCACCCTTCCAGGAACAGGAGGCATAGCAGATCAACCTAATACAAAGAAACAAACACAGGGAGGTGGCCAAAACGAGAAGACAAAGAAACATTTCTCAAATGAAAAAATAGTACAAAATTTCAGAAAAATAACTAAACAAAATGGAAGCAAGCAATCTATCAGATGCAGAGTTCAAAAACTGGTTATAAAGGATGCTCAATGAACTTAGGGGAAGAATAGATAATCTCAGTGAGAACTTCAACAAAAAGATAAAAACCAAAAAAGAACCAGTAAGAAATGAAGAATACAATAACTGAAATAAAAAATACAATTGATGGGTTAGATGAAGCAGATTAGATGACAAAGAGGATCAAATCAGTGATAAGGAGGACAAGGTAGCAGAAAACACCCAATCAGAACAGCACACCTAGAGTGCCCAGCTCAGGTGATGGGGAAGGCTGAGCCACCAGGCCTACAGGACACTTACTATACAAAGCCACTCTACCAATTCCAGAAGACATAGCAGCTCTACCTAACACTGGGAAGCAGCCAAAATGTGGAGGCAAAGAAACATGTCACAGATGAAATAACAGAAGAAATCTCCAAAAAAACCCTAAATGAAATGGAAGCAAGCAAACTACTAGATACAGAGTTCAAAACAATGGTTATAAGGATGCTAAAAAAATTTAATGAGAATTTCAAGAATCTTAGTGAGAATTTTAAGGAAATTAGTGAGAACATCAATGACATAAAAAAGGACCAGTGTGAAATGAAGGCTACACTAACTGAAATGAATAATTTACAGAGAATCAACAGTAGAGGATACTGAGAATCAAATAAGCAATCTGGAATATAAGGAAGCAAATACACCAAATCAGAACATCAAAAAAAAAAAAGTTTCCAGTAATATGAAGATAGCGTAAGGAGTCTCTGTGACAACTTCAAGCGTACCAGAGGAGAAGAGAGGGAGCAAGAAATTGAAAATCTATTTGAAAAACCAATGACAGAAAACTTCCCCTACCTGTGCAAGTTCAAGAAGCACAGAGTCCCAAACAAGACGAACCCAAACAGGCCCACACCAAGACACATCATAATTAAAATGCCAAAGGTTAAAGACAAAGAGAGAATCTTAAAAGCAGCAAGAGAAAAGCAGTTAGTTACCTACAAGGGAGCACCCATATGACTGTCAGCTGATTTCCCAACAAAAACTTTGCAGGCCAGAAGGGAGTGGCAAGAAATATTCAAAGTGGCGAAAAACAAGGAACTACAACCAAGACTGCTCTACCCAGCAAAACTATAATTTAGAACTGAAGGTCAAATAAAGAGCTTCACAGATAAGAAAAAGCTAAAGGAGTTCATCACCACCAAACCAGCACTACAGGAAATGTTGAAGGGTCTTCTTTAAGAAGCTAATGAACAAAATAAACTAGCAAAATAGACCCAGAGATGTTGAATCATGCAACAGACTGATGCATTTCAGAGGGAAGGGGATGGGAGGTAGGGATGGGACGAGATTAACCAAAGAACTTATATGTGCTTGGCTGGCATGGCTCAGCAGTTGAGCATCGACCTATGATCCAAGAGATTGCGGTTCCATTCCTGGTCAGGGCACATGCTCAGGTTGTGGGCTTGATCCCTGGTTGGGGGCGTGCAGGAGGCAGCCAGCCTATCAACGACTCTCTCATCATTGATCTTTCTATATCTCTCTCCCTCTCCCTTCCCCTCTTTGATATCAATAAAAACATATTTACTAATAATAAAAAAGAACTTATATGCATATATGCATAACCCATGGACACAGACAATAATGTGGTGAAGGCCTGAGAGGAGGGTAGAAGGGGGGTGGAAGGAGTCAATGGGGGGAAAATGGAACATCTGTAATACTTTCAACAATTAAGATAAACTTAAAAAATAATAATAAAATAAATAAATAAACATTTTTTAAAAAAAGAAAGAAAACTACAACTGTTCATTTCCCAAGTCCATGCAAGCTAGAGTGGGACAACTTGATATAGACTGCAGAGAAATCTCAACAGCTCACCTATGGAGAATCTCCAGACCTGCCTAGAAAGATCACCAGAGATTCAAGTTGCAGACCAGGAGAATCTGTCAGACTGTCACTGCCTGCCTTCACTCCATTTGAGGATGACTCAAGACAGATACACAGAGGCCCTGGCCAGGTACCTCAGCTGGTTAGAGCGTCATTCCAATATGCCAAGGTTGCTGGTTCTCGGTCTGTCTCCCTCTCTCTCTCCCTCTTTCTCTCTAAAAATCAATGAGTAAAATTTTTTAAAAAGACATACATCTAGAAATCTTCTCGACTAACTGCTTTCAGAACTCAGAAACCAAGGTTAGAGTCTCCTCCAATCATTAACCTTTGTTTTTCTTTTTTCCCCCAGAGATGCCTCTTATTAAGTGCCTGACTGCCTGCAAACTTTGCGAACCCACCTGCATCACCACCTCCTGAAATGAGACATAGAGCGATTTACTGACCCAGCTTCTGGAATGTGAAATTTCCAGGGAAGTTTCAGAGGTAGGAACTTCCTTATGACCTTATATATAGAAAAGCCCAAGGAACCCACTAGGGGTTCAGAGCAAGTCACCCCAATATGTGCCACTTGGTATATAAATTATTTTGAATTGAAGGCAATGAAACCCTGCAGGCTCAGGAGAAACTTTGACCTCTTCCTTAAAGAATTTTAAATTAGGAGATTTACCCATAAGAGTTATCACCAGAGATAGCCTTTTAGGACCTATTTACAGGGCAGGGCAAGCTTCTAATACCAAACATCTGTTCTTCTTATCACCCTGCAGTGACTTTCCTCCCCTCTGAATCCCCAAGGTGCCTTACCTCTCATCCGTGGCTCAGAATACCATATATACTTCATTTCCCCCTTATGTCTCTGAACCTCTCGCTATGTGGTGGGGTTCCCATACGTACATATACAATTAAATTTGGTTATTTTCTCTTGTTGCTGTGTCTCACACAGATTTGCTTATTAGAACAGCTGAAAAAAACCTTAAGGGTACAAGAAAGTTTCTTCCTCCCCCACAACAGGGTCAAGGCAGAGCCAGAAAGATGACCCTGACAACCCTTGGTAGCTCAGAGCTATAGACTTCCTCCTTTCCACAGTACCCAAGAACACCACCTGGACTTTGCTAACCCACTGACTTCTTTCTCTGGGTTTTACTCTTACCAGCTTTCACATGGCTTATCCTGACAATTCACACTAGAATCAACTGGGAAGCTTTAAAACAGACTGACTTGGCCTGGCCGGGTTGCTCAGTTGGTTAGAACATTGTCCCCATAAGCCAAGTTGCTGGTTCAATTCCCGGTCAGGGCACATACTACAATCAATCAATGAATGCATAAATAAGTGGAACAACAAATTGATGTCTCTCTCTCTCTCTCTCTCTCAAATAAATAAATAAATAAGACTGATTTGACATGACCTTATACGTAGAAAAGCCCAAGGAAGCCAGTGAAAAACTATGGAACTAATAAATGAGTTCAGCAAGGCTGTAGGATACAAGTATTTGTAAGATCAACTGAATTTCTATACAGTAGCAATGAACAATTATTAAAAATGAAATTAAGAAAACAATTACCTTTATAATGAGGAAAATAAAATACTTATGAATACATTTAACAAAAGCATAAGACTTGCAAACTGAGAACTATAAACATCATTGAAAAAAAGTAAAGATGAAACAAATGAAAAGCCAATTCATGTTTATGAATTGGAAGACTTAATATTGTTAATATGGCAACACTCCTCAAATTGATCTATAGATTCAGTGGAATTCCTCTCAAACTCCCAGCTGGCTTTTTTGCAGAAAGTGACAAGTGGTTCCTAAAATTCATATAGAAATTCAGGGAAATAGAATAGCCAATCTTGAAGAATAACAAATTGGTCAATCCACACTTTCTCATTTCAAGACTTAATACTAAGTGACAGTAATCAAGACCGTGTGGCACTGGCAAAGGATAAACATACATATCAATGGAATGGAAATGACTATCTATACACAAACCCTAATATTTATGGTTAACTGATCCTTCACAAAGTGACCAATACCAGGGTAAAGAATAATCTTTTCAACAAACGGTGCTGGGACAACTGGACATCCACAAGCAAGAGTATGAATTTGGGCCCCACCTCACATCATACACAAAAATTAACTGGAAACAGATCATGGAGCTAAATGTAAGGGCTAAAACTATAAAAACCCTTAGAACACAGAATAAAACTTCATGACCTTAGGTTGGGCAATGGTTTCTTAGACATGACATTAAAAGAAGTGATATAAGAAAATATATATATAAATTGGACTTCCTGACAATTAAAAACTTTTGTGCTTCACAAGATACCATCAAGAAAGTGAAAAGACAACCCACAGAATGGGAGAAAATATTTACAAATCATTTATTGACAAGGGACTTACATTCACAATATAGAAGGAATTCTTATAACTCAGCAACAAAAAGCCAACTCAATTGCCCCGGTGGGTGGCTCAGTTGGTTGGAATGTCATCCCATACACCAAAAGGTTGTGGGTTCAATTCCCAGTCAGGGCACACACCTAGGTTGCGGGTTTGATCCCCAGTTGAGCTGTGTATGAGAGGCAACCAATAGATGTTCCTTGCTCACATCAATGTTCCTCTCTCTTTCTCCCTTCCTCTCTCTAAAATCAATCAATCTTTATATATATATATATATATATATATATATATATATATATATATA